ACCCCATTTTGGGTAAAGGCCTCCTCCAAAGATGTCCATTTGTCTCTGTTTTGTGCTACTAATGTCCAGTTTGAGCCAGCCATTTATTTGTTATTATGATGTGTTATTTATTTATTTGTTAATACGTGAATTGCAAAAAGTAAATAACACTTTGTACCACTTTTTACGAAAATTGCGAGGACGGCGTATGAAATTTCACACGACTATCTAAATATATATAACTCAAAGGTGACTGACATTGTGATCTATCAACGCACAGCCCAAACCACTGGACGGATCGGGCTGAAATTTGGCATGCAGGTAGATGTTATGACGTAGGCATCCGCTAAGAAAGGATTTTGATTAATTCTACCCCCGAGGGGATAAAATAGGGGATGAAAGTTTATATGAAACTGTCAATTTTAAACCGATCGGGCTGAGACTTTGCATGCGTAAAGCTACTATGACATTGGCATCCCCTAAGAAAGGCTTTTAATAAATTCCACCCCTAAGGGGATAAATTATAGCGAGAAGAAATTATAAAAAAGCTAGTAGTTTATATAGAGAAATATTGCAGAATGTTGATATTTTTTTTTTAATTAGAAATGCATAAATCCTATCAAGTATATAGGGTAAATAAAAATGTTTGCATCGAGGAATAGAAACCGCGATATTCGATAGTAAAGCTGCCCTTCATGAAGGAGGACTACTGGCCGAAAGGTATGGTGTATCGACAGTGCCGTGACCACACAGGCTATTTATATTTATACTAGCTACCCACCCCGGTTTTGCATGGGTGTACATGTATTATACACATAAACCTTCCTCTTGAATCACTCTATCTGTTAGATGTGGCAATGTTACACATTGATATATTGTAGAGTTGGTCAGTTTGTGTTCCATTATTGTTATGTTGGCAACATTCATTCATTCACTGTTCATTCAGTGTTCATTCATGTCCGTTCAATTCGTTCTCTCTATGATTTGTACGGCTGTTAGTTATTAAAAGATTACTTACTTGTTTTGTTAATAAAATAAAAGTTCTATTAAAACTTCACTATCTATTAAAAGAACCGCTTCAAAATCCGTTGCGTAGTTTTAAAGATATAAGCATACATAGAGACAGACGGGGACAGCGACTTTGTTATATACTATGTAATGATAATGAATTTATATTATTTTTACATATCTATGTTAGTTTATAAGGTATTTATAATAGGGGTCTAGTACCCTAGAAAATAATAATAAATAAAATAAAAAACGATCAGTTAAACCGGTGGTTACTTAAGCCGTTAACATTTTTTGTAAGATTATATATACATTTATGTAAACACGTCATTTTTGAAGCTAGAAGCTTGAAACTTATTATTGATACTGTTGATTAAATATAAATACATATGAATATGACATTCATTGTTTGTAAAAAAATTAATATAAGGGGGCAAAAAATAAATAGGGGTTGCAAGTTTTTATGTAAAATCGTCATTTTTGAAGCTAGAAGCTTGAAACTTATTTTTGAGGGTGTTGATTAATATAAATAATATACATTGTTTGTAAAAAAATACCCTTAAGGGGGCAAAATAAATAGGGGATGCAAGTTTTTATGTAAAATCGTCATTTTTGAAGCTAGAAGCTTGAAACTTATTATTGATTGTTGATTAAATATAAATACATATGACATTCATTGTTTTAAAAAAATTACCCTTGGAATATGGGCAAAATAATTATTGGATGCAAGTTTTTATGTAAAATCGTCATTTTTGAAGCTAGAAGCTTGAAACTTATTTTTGAGGCTGTTGATTAAATATAAATAATATACATTGTTTGTAAAAAAAATACCCTTAAGGGGCTAAAATAAAATAGGGGGTGATAGTTAGCTGTACCCGCGACTTTGTCCGCGTGGAAAATAACTTTAATTTTCTAAAATAAAACTAGCCTAAGTTACTCCTTATTACATCTACCTGCCAATAAAAGTCCCGTCAAAATCGGTCCAGCCATTTCAGAGATTAACCGGAACCAACAGACAGATAGAGGGGGGAAGGTGATTGTTAGTAATGTGGATTGATAACCTCATTGCTAGCAATGTACCATATCAGGTCGACCTCCACGCGGTTCCCCCTGGAAACAATCGTGTTAAATTCCTGGTGAATTTGTCACGATGTGCTAACTGACGTGACCTCATGCTCATCTTATCATCCTCCACTGGTGCCCCGCCAGCGTAAACCGTTAGCGCAGGCGGGTGCACCATTCCATTATCATCCATAAAAAAAAAACAGACAGACAGACAGAAATTATAAAAAATGTTATTTTGGTGTATGTACCGTATATATATTCATATGCATGTAGTAACACGGTTATTTCAATATTACAAACAGACACTCCAATTTTATCTATATGTAAAGATAATGTAGTATAAATAGAATATAATTATCTGTACGTTCCCACCATATGTTTTTCGCCATGTTATAAGTTTTATGGGGTTTACTATGGTTCATTAGGTGAATCAAACTGATCGATCCCCCGTCCAATTCAAACGGGGATCGATATTACGACGGCCTGAGCCGAGGTTCGAACCCCTAGTGGTGCCCTCAGGCTAAAGTCGTATCCATCAGGCAGGAGTTGGCCTTCAGCCGCCCCATAAGTCCTTCCTTTAATAGGTAATTGTTTAACCAGTTGTTGTATATTAAATGTTTTTTCTATTTTATTATTCAATATGAATTAGTGCTAATCGGTAGTTTGTATTCACACACTTAAACTTAAATTGTAAGTAAGAATAAATTATTTAAAAGAGCAACACACAAGTTTCTTGCTCGTTCTTCTTGTGATGAGACAGCATTCCGAATGAGCGGTAGATTAAAAAAAATGTGATGACTATTCAAAAGTGCTTCAATGTAAGTTTATTTGAATAAATGATTTTCTATTCTATTCTATTCTATTCTTCCGCCCAATAACGTCCGGTGAAGCTGTAATTAGAGTAGTCCGGAAAAAAATTCTATATCTATTAAAAAACAATTAAAAATACTGTTAGTAATTTAAATTAAGTTTAATTATATGTACATTTTATTTGCTCTTTTTTTTCGTTTGTTGTTTATATTGTATTTTTTACATTGCACTGAATAAAATATTTTTCTTTCTTTCTATTGAAAAGAATACTAGAATACTTGTTCAGACTTTTAAGGATTGGATACAGTAAGTATTTACGGAAATTGGTACAATGGAGTGACCCATTTGGTATTGAAAAAACCTAAAATCGTCGGCAAACAGAAAGGAATTCTTCACAGCACTACCATATGATTTGAAGGGAATTCTCAGGAACTACCTTGCATTGACAAAATTAATATATACACTCAAAAAACTAACTACAATAGCGATTTTCTACCCTACCCCCTATATTAATAAGGATTTCTAACGGATGACTTTGAATATCGTAAGCTTTTGCTATTATATGGTAATCGTACAGGTTAGTTTTATTATTAGATCAATTAGGGAAAAATTTATACCCTAATGATAACAATTTACCAGTTTGACATTTTTTGGTTTATATAATTACTATCTGCATATGATTGAACTTGATATTGATTGTGTATAATTTTGATCTATAGTTGATCAGTGATAAAAATGACGATTTTTGGACATTAATATCTAAATAACCGTTTGAGATATGTTTATGAAATTTGGAACACATATTTACGTCTCAATATATACCAAATTTGACAGGTTTATGTGAAAGAGTTTTTGAGTTATTGTGGTTCGTGTAAATATACACACGGTGCTGCTCGCCAGTTTACTTGAAACTCGGCTTGACACGCTACCGCGTGTCTAGATTCGGTGGCCATATGATTTTTGTATGACATTCCATTGATGATTTTCTTTAACTGTTTTAAGTCTTATAAGCTTAGTAATAGAGTTGGAAATGCAATGTATAGTTATACGATCTAGTTAGTTGGCAGGGTAGACGGGTTGGATTACGCGCCAGTGCAAGTTTTAGTTACCAGCTTCAACCCGAGAATCTTCTAAATTTAAAATTATTTCAAACCTAACCGATTTTTTTCCCGGCAAAGTGACATATATAACCTAAAACTTTTCAGTGTTAATTACTTTTTAATATTCAACTAACACTAAAGGAATTTATTTCAAAAGTATGTAAAAATATATTAAGTGAAGACCTATAAATCTTATTAATTATAAACGCTTGTGAGTATGGATGAATGTTTGTTACTATTTTACACAAAAAATACTAAACGGATTTTGATGAAACTTTAGCTTATACATCATTATAACGTATAGGTTATAAATTTCACGCGCGTAAAAAAGCGGGCACAGCTATTACAATATAAATATATCATCACTATAAAACATGCAATTAAAAATAAAACAAACAACTAATTTGAACAATTTTATTAGAGATTATGTGAACGATAATTAATTATATGATAAATTATTCATTTGTCCCATTTATACTTCAATAGTAGCACAAAACACTGTAGACACAACTGTAAAACATTGTAGAGTTCATTAAAATAATATTTTACATATTATTTTAATGAACTCTACAATATTTTCATTAACAAGAATAATATATTACTACATTTTCTAACTTCTCTGCTAATCCGTTAATAATATTGACTATTAAATAGTTGTATAAAAATAAGCACTTAATAATTAAAAACACTCCCAAATAATTATTAATTCTTGCAATTTATTATAATAAACATTATTTAGTAACAGAATAATTATATAAGCAAAAAACTAAAGAAATACATTCCAATAAACACCACGCTTAGTTTAAGTTATGAAAAAACTACTATAGTAGTAGAAATTTCCTACCGTATAACCGCGGGACCACAGGGGTGACAGGACTAGCTCTGGGAACAACGGTTTTGGAAACGAGCACATATCGCGCCAGTTGTTCGTCGGACGGCGCCGGCTGCAATTCGTTTTGTTGCTCGCGACCGTGAATTAACTTTGAGAGAGATTATTAAAAGACTGAATGAAAAATGGACTTGTGATTGTGTTTTTAAATATAGTGCATATTTGGAACTTGCCAAAATGTGGAGCGAAGCCAGTAACAATTGCGAAAGCAACTGCCAGTGCTCCGGGTAAGTCTGTTAGATTTAAAAAATAACTTTGGTATTGTCTATAGTTTTTCGAAAAATAAAACACCATTGTTGTTTGTTATGGCGGCGATAAATTGTTATTTTTTTTTTATACAGATGTACATAGATAATTTTTATTTTTAATATTTTTAGCATTGAGATATCTTATTTATTATTTATTTTTAGGGACCAAAATTAACTAAGTACATTATTTATTTTAAACTAATGTACTTATTAATTTAAACATAGATAAACTAAAATATACTCTGATTTATATTTCTTTAATATATCCTGTAGGTATCATAGACAAGTAAAGATACTTTTAACTAAATAACATGTTATTTTTATTAGTATATTAAATTACCAGGGTTTTTATAACCTCTACGTTTTCTTAACAATGTATATCATTACATAGTCTATACATACATATAAATAAAATTGGAGTGTCTGTTTGTAATATGGAAATAACCGTTTTTTACTACCTGCATATGAATACGGTACATACACCAAAATAACATTTTTTACAATTTTTGTCTATCTGTCTGTTTGTTCCGGCTAATCTCTGAAATGGCTGGACCGATTTTGACGGGACTTTTTTTGGCAGGTAGCTGATGTAATAAGAACAACTTAAGATAACTTAGGCAACTTTTATTTTAGAAAATTTCTTTTAATTTAGAAAAATAAAGTTAAATTCCACGCGGACGAAGTCCAGCTAGTATCAAATAAAATCGCTGTCTGTTTGTCCCTATGTATGCTTGAAGCTTTAAAACTACGCAACGGATTTTGATGCGGTTTTTTTAATAGATAGAGTGATTCAAGAGGAAGGTTTATATGTATAATACATGTACACCCAGGCGAAGCCGGGGCAAGAAAGTCTGCATATTGAAATTATTAAACAAATAATTTAAGCTCGCAAAAAACTTATTTTAACATACCTACACGTCACTCGTGCGAACTTATCTAGCCTTGAAACATAAAGAATATTGACCTTTTTTTTTCAGCTGTGCGATATACCTATATTGTCTATGCCTCGAATGAAAGGATCGGAAAGTTTTTCAATCTCGTTCAGAATGAAAGGGACAGTTTGTAGTTCGTTGGATTAGCTTATAACGGATGGCAATGAATATTATGGTTAACTAGCTTTTGCCCGCGGCGTCGCTCGCGTTAATTTATCCCCTTAGGGGTGGAATTTAACAAAATCCTTTCTTAGGGGATGCCTACGTCATAGTAGCGTTATGCATGCAAAGTCTCAGCCCGATCGGTTTAAAATTGACAGTTTCATACAAACTTTCATCCCCTATTTTATCCCCTTGGGAGTAGAATTAATCAAAATCCTTTCTTAGAGGATGCCTACGTCATAACATCTACCTGCATGCCACATTTCAGCTCGATCCGTCCAGTGGTTTGGGCTGTGCGTTGATAGATCACTATGTCAGTCACCTTTGAGTCATATAATTATATTTAGAAGATACCTATAATATGTATGTATTTACGAAAAAAAATATCTATGTATTTATATATATCTCCCTTTGATGGGGTAATAATAATAATAATCTCAGGACAATTCACACAGCGCCATCTAGACCCAAGTTAAGCTAGCTAAAGCTTGTGTTATGGGTACTAGACAACTGATACAAATACATAGATATTTTTTGTAAATACATACATATTATACATAGAAAACACCCAGACCGATACAAACAATCATACTCATGAATACAAATGTTTGCGCCGTGCGAGGAATCGAACCCGCGACCATCGGTCGTAAAGCGGTGTGCTAGACCGCTAGACCACCGAGGTCGTCACCGATAATAGACTTATCATTATTATTATTATTATTTTTTGTACATTTAGTTTTCTCAGCTTCTTTTATTTTTACTTATGAGCTGTATGTGAGTTCTTTTGCCTGTTGTCTTTAGTAGATTTGATTCCGCTTTGACGGGCTCACAGATTCAAATTCAAAAATCATTTATTCATGCAGGACATTTTAGCCGCTTATGAACGTCAAATTTTAACATTCTAAATTTATTTTTTTCCCTACCGTCCAGTTCGGTATATAGATCCAATTGAGAAGAACTGGCAAGAAACTCAATTGAATTACTTTTTTTTTAAAGCCAGTTTATTTACAATGTATATTTATATAGGTGTCTATGTCTAACATTAAATGAAAATTAGATATTCATGTAGTAGATTAGAAATAGAAATAGAAATAATCTTTATTCAAATAAACTTAATATAAGCACTTTTGAATAGTCACATTTTTTTATTCTACCGCTCATTCGGAATGCAGCAAGAAACTTGTGTGTTGATTAAAAGAACATTTATTACTGCATATCACGAGTTAATGAAGGCGTAACTTGTAATTGATAAACCATAGCGTATATATACATGTACCATTTGTGAATGAACTGACGATAAAATTATTTTGTTGCAATATAGGGCACCGTTATCATTACTAGTGCAAATAAATATTAATTATTTGACAAGTTTAAAACACATAAAGTGGGCCGTATTGATAAAACTGTACGAGTATATTTATAGGTACAGCACAGACTATACAATTGTCAGTACATAGAGTACATTGCAATACAGATACAATTTAGTAGTGGTAGTATATTTTATCCACAAGTGGATAGGCAAAAGACAAGACCATACAGCCAAATCTTCTGTAATAATAATAATAATCTCAAGACAATTCACACAGCGCCATCTAGACCCAAGTTAAGCTAGCTAAAGCTTGTGTTATGGGTACTAGACAACTGATACATATACGTAGATATTTTTTTTGTAAATACATACATATTATACATAGAAAACACCCAGACCGATACAAACAATCATACTCATGAATACAAATGTTTGTGCCGTGCGAGGAATCGAACCCGCGACCATCGGACGTAAAGCGGTGTGCTAAACCACTAGACCACCGAGGTCGTCAAAGTAATGTTTCCATGAGAGATTCCCAGATACAATTTATAAATAACCATAACCAGAGAGTTTGAAATATAATCATAGAAATTTAAAAATAGAATCAGAACAAACTTTTTTCTGATGGATTCTATTTTTAAATCCGTATAACGCATTAGATTATTTTTGGCCAATTAAAAATATAATCATACAAATTTAAAAATAGAATCAAAACAAACTTTTTCTTATTCTATTTTTAAATTCGTATAATGGATTACATTATATTTAGCCATTTAAAAATATAAACGTACAAATTTAAAAATAGAATCAGAACAGATTATGTCCTGTTTCTATTTTTAAATTCGTATAAAGGCATTAGGCCTTCTTTTTGGCCAGAATGCCGTAATTAAAAAGGTTAAGGACACAAAGTATATATGTGGAAATTGTAAAATGTCCTTCAACCTTCCCCTGGTCATCCCCTATTTGTTGGACCGTGAAGGCATAAACATATGGTTCGACCCCTCGCCCACGTCCACAACTAAATTTAAACTCAATCCCTTCATAATAGAGTATAAATTTGAGAAATACTAAGTTATGTTTCAATGATCCCTATATATATGAAAGACTAGCTGTACCCGCGAATTCGTTCGCGTGGAATTTAACTTTATTTTTCTAAAATAAAAGTAGCCTAAGTTACTCCTTATTACATCAGCTACCTGCCAATAAAAGTCCCGTCATAATAGGTCCAGCCATTTCAGAGATTAGCCGGAACAAACAGACAGACAGATAGAAATTGTAAAAAATGTTATTTTAGTGTATGTACCGTATTTATATTCATATGCATGTAGTAAAAAACGGTTATTTCAATATTACAAAAAGACACTACAATTTTATACTCGTCCGTCCGTGCAATTTCGTAAAAAGCACAGTTTCTCTACTCCACGATGACTTAGCACAGAGTAATGGCTGTCTTAGACTCAGAACTGCTTTTCACAACAAAACATTTTAAACACAATATTGTATGACACATTATATTCTAAAATAACATCTATTCGTTCCGCATTAAGATTAATATTGATATAATCAGGTAAATGATAGACAAAACAATGCGGGCTCATTGTTATTTCCCGCCATTGAGAACCGCAGAGCAATAAACGGTGTCTATGGCTCTCTTTAGACCATAGAGTTCTATTGTATCATGTTTATGTCTGAATTTAATTCAACGATCGCAATAAAATTGTTTATAGGCTATCTTAGGAACATACCATAAATCGAAGGACCTATATGGTCGTGGGTAATTTTCTCTACTAGATGGAGAGATAGGTATGGATGAGATGATTAGGATGGATTGTGTGGATAGAAATAATCTTCATTCAAATAAACTCATTATAAGCACTTTTGAATAGTCATATTTTGATTCTACCACTCATTCGGAACGCAGACTCGTCACAAGAAGAATGAGCAAGAAACTTGTGTGTTGCTCTTTTTAATAGATTTTTTTTATAAATGATTACAGTATAACAAGTAAGAGGCATGCGATAATCAACATAGAAGTCGCTACGCACTCATTATTAGTGTAATCAGATAATATTGTCAGTGCTATGGATTTAAAGTTTTTCTATAAAAACATTATTATCGTTAACGAATTCTTCAATTTTATAGTAAGCTTTTTTGCAAAGGAACTGTTTTATATGACATTTAAATCTTTTTTCTGGCAGATTTATAACAGACTCTGTTATTTTGTTGAGTCTACAGTCTACACCCATATCGCGACATGTGTTTGTCGCGGTTTGGTCGCCGATGGGTCAACACTAGGCTTCCGAGCTGTACCCGAAGTCTAATTAACACCTGATGAAGCCTTGTTCAGAGGCGAAACACTCGCGATATGAGTGTAGACTCAATAACAGTCGGAGTTTGATCGCCACTGGAGAAGGTCGTAACTCTGGTCAGGTTTCCACACCGAATATTTGTGGTCTCACACATGTTAATTGTAGAGGAATTAAACTAAATAATAAGAATAGAATAGAAAATCATTTATTCAAATAAACTTACGTTGAAGCACTTTTGAATAGTCATCAAATTTTAATCTACCGCTC